TTCATTCATTCCATGTTCCAATTATTAATGGATGTTTGCAGCTGTCGTCCTTAATTTGAGTTGTGCCACATCAACAAATGGAGGTCTCAAAAGCTTTTTTTTATCTGTATCATTAAGGTTGGTTCTACTCTGATGATGCAGCTCTTTCCCACTCATATTTTGAGAGCCTTCCAGCCTAAGGAGCTCATCCTCCTGCACTGTATCAGATGGTGTTTCCAAGCTATTCATAAAGTTGTACAGTAATGTATCAGGCAGTGTTTCTCTGCTCTTAATAAGGTTTTCCCTGGCCAATTCTTTGAGAAGTGGATGGCTTCTTCCTTCTTCCTAGTCTGTCTCAGTCTGTAAGCTGGGCTGATATCTGTGCACCATGTGCAACCCTGCTGGTGTTTGAAACACTGGTGGCACAGCCTCAAGCCTCATAGCAACATGTCAGTCACCACAGTACAACAAACTGACAGACAAGTTTGTCTCCCTTAACTGTTTGAAACTTCTCCGCCCTCCCCTTACCTGAATCCCTGACACTGCTCACTCTGTCATTCCCCTGCTTTTCTTTCACCTGCTTTCCTGCCTTTTAAGGATGGGGCCTAGGTCCCTCCCCTTACCTGGATCCCAGCCGCTGCTCACTTTGTCGTCCCCCTGGCTTTTCTTTCTCCCACTTTCCTGCCTCTTGGGGGTGGGGCCTGGGTCCCTCCCCTTGCCTGGATCCCAGCCATTGCTTGCTCTGTTGTTCCCCTGCCTTTTCTTTCCCCTGCTTTCCTGTCTTTTGGGGGTGGGGCCTGGGCCCATCCCCTTACTTGGATCTCTTCTGCTGCTTGTAAATATTTACAGCCTCAGAAATCCAGTGGGAGTCACGGTGAGTCAGAATTAACTCAATGGCAGTGAGTTTCTTTAGCAAGTCCTCAAGTCCTAAAAAGAGTTGCTCAGAAAGCCTTCAGTGAAAATTGAAAGTTTTGTGTCTTCTTATGCTCCTGAGAGGGATATGATTTTTAAACAATTGAAAGAAGATGCTTATAGAATATGTTGCCTTCAGAGTTGTAAGGTAGAGGCTTAAGTGCCTTTAACTTTGTGGAAAAGGAGAAGCAGAAGGCAGTTGGTATAGTCCAACTTGTTCTGAATTCTCCCTAGCGATGGAGATGTATTGCAGGACCTAACACTTTGGACACTGAGCCCAGGGAATCTGCAAAATAAAGTCAAGACAGGACACTGTAGCTAGCAGGGAGGGGGCCTAAATGTGTGGGTACTGATTTGCTCTCCCTTGATAAGCAGCTAGCTGCTTTGTAGCTAACCTTTTGCTTCTTTGGGCTGGAGATGGGGGGGGGGGCTTGCCAGGTGGGAGTTAGAGTGGGAAAGAAAGAATGAAGAAAGCAGGAATAACATAATTTTTCTTGACCTCTCAAAGCATAGAAAATGTATCTCTTCACTGTGTGTCTGCATCATTCCTCTTTGTTTTTTTGTTTTGTTTTGTTTTGTTTTTTTAGTGCTGGCTGACTGTTACACCTTCCATACCACCTATTAATTTAGCACCCAGGGAGCTGCAGCTGTCTATGAAATGCACACACAGCCTAGAAAAGCAGTGGGCATTATTTTTGCTGGTGCAGTAACCCAAAAGATTCTCTAATTGCTTGAATTTGAGGAGTTTTCCTAACCTCTCTAAACCTCAGTTTCTTCTTCTATAAATAAGGATACAGTACCTTCCTCAGAGGACTGCTAGAAGGACTGAATGAGATGCTGTTGTTGTTGCTGACTGTCGTCGAGTCGGTTCCATCTAATAGTGACCATGTGTACAACAGAGCGAAACACTGCCCAGTCCTCTACCATCCCCACAGCTGTTGCTATGCTTGAGCCCATCTCTGTAGCCACTGTGTTAATCCATCTTGATGAGAATCTTCCTTTTTCACTGACCCTCTACCAAGCATGATGCCCCTCTCCAGGGACTGGTTCCTTCTGAATGTGATAATACGTGGAAAGTGCTTAGCGCAGAGGCTGACACGTTGTTCTGAGTTTTTGTCAGTTCAGTATTATTCATAGTGATTCATTTTTGCATACCCACATAATAATAGTTTATACTCTTAACCACTATTTTGGTGCCTCTCCACACTTGAAGTTCTTTCTCTTTCTTTCCCTTTCACCTGTCCTCCCCCAAACCCCCACCACTACTTTCACACACTCCATACTTTTTCAGTTTCCTGTTTAGGGTTACAGGTGCAGAGTCCTCTGGTCAGATCTATTGCCTGTGACTTATAATCTGTAGGGAACAGGAAGTATCTCGAGTCAGTGTGTGTACATGCATTAGAGTGACCACGTGTTTTACTTGTAAGCCAAGATTTTTATAGAGAGCCCTTCAGTGAATATAGCCTAAAGAACTTAAGAAAAAGGGAAAACCTGGCCCCACAATCAATTAGAGATTTAACAAAATTCAGCACACTAAATGGTTACTGGTCATGGAGGTTCCAGAATCAAAATCAGATTAGCATAGGAGAAATCTAGACTCTTCACTATTGTGCTATTTTAAATACTAATACTGCTTTTTTGAGGTTTTAGTACATACTTTGGGCAGTGTGTGCCTTGTAACTACTTGGAACTGTTCCATAGTTGGACATGACTTATCTTGATAGCCAAAGGTGGGTATAGAGTCCCTATAATCCATCCTTATTAACCCTGCACAACTATCTATCACCTCCATGCATGAGGAAAGGGATGGTGTTTCCCCAGTGCTGAGCTTCATTAAGCTGGACTTGTCACTGGAAAGTTCTAGTTGTGTTCCAAGTTGTAATTGCCTCCCAGAGAAGTAAATGCTAAGTTCTTCATAGAGATATTCTTAGAAATGTCACTCACATTTCAAAATGTGTGAAATGGCAGGTGTGTACAGTGGTCATTCTCTGGTCAAGACATCTTTTCTGCCTTGGTTTCCTTCTAGCTAACCCTTTGTTTTATAATAGCTTGCACTTGTCTGAGGGCTCCCAAATAGGCTTTTCAGTGTCCAAATATCTCCAGACAAGAGAGTACACAGGAGTGGGGCAACAGCCCTGACGAACACAAACCCAAATCTGAACATCCATCCAGATTTACCGCTTTAGACACTGAGGGAATGCTGAGCAACTGTGTGTGATGACTGTGCCATGTGCTACTTCCTGAATATAATTTAAAAGATTCATGATGGTAAAAGTGGGGAGTGGTTTAGAGAGAACCTAAAGCTATGAACCCTTTTGGTAGATAATTAATGCTGCAAAGAGCTTTATTCCTAACAGTATTATAGGAGGAAGCTGTAGCAGAGTGATTGCGAAGAGAGTCTGGAAAACTTATTTTATCACGCCTGGACAGAAAGGTTACTCACTGGCTGTGATGTTGCAGTATTTGAGAGCTACAGAGAGAGCTTTAGAGACCAGGAGGAAAAAAGCCAGAAACTACAGGGTTCTTCTCCAGGAAACAAAATGAAGTTCTTTCTCTGCTAAGAGCCATGGCAAAATGATACTTGGTTTAGACTTTAGATTGCCTTGAAGTGGTTGGAATGAACAAAATAGGAGAATATAAAAAATAAATGATAAATCGATAAGCCACAAGTTCTCTGCAACATTCCACACTGGAACCCCAGGACAATTGCTCTGAAATGATTCAGAATAAATCTGTAACTCAAGGCTTAGTTGTTAATAATTTACTCTGTATAGAGTACTACCTTTTTCTCTTTAAGGTGTTTCTTTTAAATATTAGTTAAGTCATTATGTTGTTGTAATAAAGGCCAGTGTTTTTATAAGTGCAATCCCCAACCCATATTCAGATAATAGGTTTAAAGATTGATACAGTAAAATGATCCAGTGTGTAGAGCACCTATTTTTCATACCCTCCTCTCCTCATCACTTGCTCCCCCTCCAATCTGTCTTCCCCATTGTACCCAGAGTAATTTTCCTAATATACATACCTGATTGTGTCACTTCATTATTTAAAGTCTTTTCTTAACTCCTATGGACTTTAGAATAAAGCCCAGAAGATGGTTATCCATGACCCAATCTCTATCTGCCTCTTCAGTCTTATCTCTCACCACTCTGTGTTCGGCCATTTTTAATTACTTGGAATTCCCCATCATCCTCCTTCATATTTCCTTTTACTTTGTTTGGTGTGTTCCTCACAGTGTGCATCCTCCCCATCTTGAAGGCTCAGCTCTCCAGGGAATCTTTCCTGAGTCCCTTTCGCTGCTTCCCTCCTCTGGGCTCTCAGCACCCTGTGCTACCTCTGATATAAGTCATGATTGCCTCGTGTACATAGTGTCTCCTATCTTCACACACACACACACTGGAGACTGTTTTTCAGATTCCTAATACAAAGTAGATGCTCAGTAAGTATTAGCTAAACAAATTAGTGAATAAGTATTTGAGTGAGTGAATGAACAAGCAAATGCGATACAGTTATGGAAACTGCAGGTGACTACAGCTCCACTTATGGACTACAGCTGAGCATAACTCTTTTTTTTTTTTCTCAGTGATAACATATGTCATAGAGTCCTTACAATTTAGTTTGTACATTTGTAGAAATTGCCACCGTATGCCTTCTTTCTTTTTTTAAGAAATACAGAACTAGAACATAGCTGTTTTTCAGTGAAGCACAGCAGCCTAGATGCATACATACACAGATAGATACACACAGAGACATACACATATAAAAATGTATAAAAATGATTAAGTATTTAATAAATGGTCACTAGTCACTTAGTGACTGTGTCTCAGTGACTGTCGTCCTCACCTGCCTTCTGTCCAGTGCCCATACCCACCTCAATGCACGTGACTTTGCCGGTAAGTCCTTTTTGTGAATTATAGATGTTCTCCCTACATGAGCTTCTTTCCATCAGTGTCTCTTAATACTCTTCTGTAAACCTTAAAGGTTCACTGATTCAAGATAGCCACAGTCTGGCGGGAGCCTTGGGACTAGTTTATAGGGCCAACCAAAGAAACTGTCTTTTAAAGCACTGTAGGTAGCTGATGCCATATCTGTGTTGTCTTGTCTTTCAGCTTACATTTTACTATGGTACTCTTGATCATTGGTGTCCAAAAGAGTACTATGATGACATCAAGAAAGATTTTCCAGAAGGAGATATCCGACTCTGTGAGAAAAAGATACCTCATGCCTTTATCCTCTCTCATAGCCAGGAAATGGCTGAAATGGTGGCTGACTGGCTGAAGAATGACTTATCCAAAATATAAATAATGACACCAGGGAACAAGCACCTACAGCCAGTATATAGAATCAGTGGGTTTACTATACTTGGCAAATAAATGTTTGATTTTGTTGATTGATACTAGAAAAGTGAGAACTTCTTGTGTCAGAAAAATACCAGCTCCTCATGTAGACTGAAATAAACACAGATGATGAATCATTCCATAAACTTAAGACATTTTCTAAAATTCAGGGAATACAATGATCATTTCTAAACAAGGTGACTTATATTTGCACGAGATGCCCAGTGTTACTGTGTAGTTTATTTTGGTAAGCAGAATGCTTGCAGACAAAATGAAATCCAAATTTAGTTGATTCTGACTGTAGCATAGGCGCTCTTAGAGGAGAAATTATGAAATACCTGCTAGAAAATGTAAAAGAGATCAATGAGTATTAATACATAGTTAGATTTATGAGGTGTATGAGATCATGAGAAAGACACAACTCATGCATCCGAGGTCCTCAGAATCAGATTGGGTGCCAGAATAGCCTGTAAACCCCAGCTATGACTACCTTGCAGCTTGTCACCAACTACCAAGTTCCCTTGTTTCTGGCCACCAGTGGCAGGCCCAACATTAAGGGAGGCACTGCTTGTCTGCATATCTGAGAAGATTTTTGAAGAGTGTAACAGCCTGATATACCTCCATTAGAGAACACAGCTTGACACACAGTAATCTGGCCATCTAACCAGATAAGGGTGGTTAAAAAATCCCAACTATGCTGCCTGCCAGGTCATGAATTTCCTACAGGTTCTTCCCCTCCAGAACCAGGACAAGGAGGCATGGGTTGTTTCAAGTCAAGCCTATGCCTGCAACATGCAGTTGCCGCTTCTCTGATTCTTTTTTTTCCCTTCTCTGATTCTAGAGATTAACAGTCTGTTAAGACCAGCAGTTAGCCATGTACTGTAGTAGGCATCGAGGATAGAGTTCTTAGCTGCTTTTTTTTGTTCTTAACAATCTTGTTTGAAAGGGTATCTTTAAATTGCTAAGTAGAGGATTACCATAAATTGGTTCTGCATTTCTGCATTATTTTATTAATTGGAAATAAATTGTTTTACTAATGAACCAAAGCAAGCCATTTAATTATGTGAATTCATCTTCTCTGGTAAATTCTCTGGTGAAGAAGCATTGTCCTCTGGCCTAGAGTGAACTAACAATATTGCTGCCTTCCCTAAATTGCCTCCATTCAGGGACTTTAGGAGCCACATGCTAAAACCTACTGACTGCAGTGGCAGATGACGGGCAATGAGAAGCATTCTATTTTCTCTGAAAGGAAATCCCTCATGACATTGTTATTCCTTAAGGACAATGGGATGGTGTCCTTCCTCTCAAAAATCTACAACTCCCTGATGAAAGATTTAGCTCGGATATGCTGCCAACCCAAAGAGAAGCACTAATGACTGTCTTTTGGTATGGCTTCTACAACTGAGCAAATGACTTCTCAGAGGGGAAGGGCCAAGTTTCAGCAAGGAGTGCTCTTGGACTCAGAGGCCACAGGCACAGGGCTGCACACAGAGACCTTGTTGGCGGGCATCTGCGTGAGGACGCCTTCTAGCAGCTCTGACATTAGAAACCATAATTCGTGTTGTCTGACATGCTCTTGTACAGGTTTTCATTGAAGCATGTAAATAAGTGTTGGATAAATTGTATCTATTGGAATAAAAAGGAATGGTCCCAGCTTTTCTTTTAGCCATTATTTTACTTTTCTCTATATTCAAAAGTCCACATGTATGAAATTGTATTATTTTTGTTTTTTGGAGCTTAATGTAAAAGCTGATGGTTCTTATTTCTGTTTCTTGTTTATCATCTGAACACCAAATGAATGAAATAAATGTTTTGCTGGCATTTATGCCTTTGTTTGGCCCAATATATGTGTGTTGGGAGGATGGAAGGTACAATTTGAGGAGTTCTCCAGAGTTACACCCAGGTCAAAGTTTCTCCACTAAAATGAAAAGCCACTTCCTCACTGGCCCTTTTAGAAAAGGAAGAATCAGATTTCAGGAGACCAAGTTCATTTTATTTCATAAAGAATTACACAAAAGACAAAAAATGATAAACAATGGATGAAATCCATTTTCCAGAAACAATTCTGCTTGTCCCAGTCAGCCACAGTGATGGTCCTTGTCAGAGATTTTCACTTCTTGGCAGGATGTCTGGTGCTGACTAGAGAGCAGAAGTTGGCTCCATGATTAATGCCCTCAGTTGCCTGTCTGTTATAGGCCATTTAGAGAATGAATCACTACAGTCAGCACCTGTGGCTCGCATGGCCTGATGTCCAAGGTTACCAGGGCCCTTTCTTGAGAGCCAATGACTTCCAGGGGCTTGATTTTTTTTTTTTTTTTAAATTCATGCTACACTATATGAAAACAGAAACAAGGCCAGACTGAAGGAGACTAAAGAGATGGGACAACTAAATACAACACATGATTCTGGAGTAGATGTTTTGCTATAAAGGAGGACATTGTTGGGTCAATTTGTACAACTTGAATGGGGTCTGAAGATTAGAGTTAATGTACCAATGTTAATTTCCTGATTTTGTTGGTTATATTGTGGATAAGTACTGAAGACACATTAAAGTACCGGGAGTAATGGAGAAATTGTGTTGGCAATTTACTCTCAGATGGTTGCGAAGGTAAAAATGTTCCTTATACTTTATTTGCATCTTTCTTATATATGTTTGAGATTATTTCAGAGTTTATAAAAATAATCATTAAAAACAAAACATCATGCTCTCTCCCCTGTGTCTGTTTCTCATTGCCTCTTTTTGGAGAATGATTTTCTCTTCAAGGCAGCAAATGGAGACCTGGGTTCAATCCCAGATTTGTCATTTACTAGGCTTGCCATGTTGTGTAAGACTTAACTTCCCTGAGTGTCCCGCTTCCTTTCCTCATCTGTGAAAACGGGATACTACCATTACTTACCTCTCTTACAAGAGGCAACCAGGGACAAAGGTGGTATGTTTCAGGTTATTTAAGACACACCTTACTGACTTACCCAACCTACCTAATGAGGATCAAATGAGGGCATACATAATAGCATTTAGCCCCCTGCCTGGCTCATGGAAGATGCTCAATAAAATGGTACCTAAAAGACAAGGGTAGCAAACTTGTTTTCCCTTTACAGTCTCTTTGGTGCTGTGGAGGGCCGCAAGACATCGCAATGTCTGCATTGTTTCACCGAATCTGTAGCTTGATTCTGGCCCAGTCTTTGCATTTCTGGCTTGTATGCAAAGGGGCACTTGCTTACCTGGCTCTACTTTCTGGCTTCAGGCCATGCAGGCCTACACACACACACAGTCCAGGATACAGTTACAGTTGATTTAGAAAAGATGCAAGAAGCAAAGCATTTGTTCAATAATGTAAGACACACTGTCTTTGTTCCTGCCCTTCTCTTGCAGGAGGGCAGAGGACATAATTGGGCCCTTCCTCACTTGTGGAAAGGAGGTGTTTCAATGACAAGTTGGGGGCAAGAATTAAGTGCGCTGTGTAGACAGATGTATTTCTAAGGCCCTGAGGCTGAAGCTGTCCTACAACAGTGCTGAGGACAGAAAAGCTTTTATGAGTGGTCCTGAAGACAAGAGACTTAAGCTCCCAGTCACTTTCCAAGGGCTGAGATTCCTGCCTGTACCCCATGCAGATGCAGATGAGTGGTCACATTGGCCCAAGTGGAGAGTAGCTATGAGACATGTGTCTGGCCTCTCCTACAAGACTGAAGGTATCTCCAGACCAAGTCTTGGATCACCAAGTTTGATAAGAAGTGAGCCTCTGTGTGATATCCTCAGGGTAGGTGAAGACCTGAGAAAGCTCTGGGTGACTAGTTCTAGAAAAAGTAGCTACTGCAGAGAGAGAGGGGAGGAGGCTCACCCTGCACTTGCAGCATCTCATTGAGGACTTACAGTCCTGCAAAGTTGTGATTATGCTCAGAATGCCACTGAGACACAGAGATCTATGGCTTAAGATTTCATAGCTATTGAGTAGCCAGAACCAGATTCAAATTCAGACATCTACTCCACAGCTACCCACTTCACCGCCTTTCCACTGCATCATGCTGCCTCCTAGAGCCAACAGTGGGCAAGCCTAGCAAAAATAGCAGCTTTTTCAAAGCACGAAAGGTGTATAACCAAGATGATTTTCAGGGGGAGAAAAATGCACCAGGCAGTGAATTGTGAAGAGGAAAGCTTGCAGACAGGCCAGAGATGAAGCTGCCATCGCACGCACTCTCCTGTAGCCCCCTGATGCTCCACTTAGACATGCTCATTTCTAGTCGCTCCTCTGAATACGCTCTACACCCTTCAATCTTTGGAATCACTGCTCTGGCTTTTAGCCTGCACATGCCCCTTCCCCACTCCTGGAGACTTGGCCCAAAATAACCAGCCAACCAGCCGTTCCTCCCTTCAAGAGCAGTCCCTCCCTCCCTCAGAGCCCTTGTGATTCCCTGGCCAAGTCTCTATTGAAGCACTTACTGTTGCAGGAATTACATTGTTATAGTCTGTCAGTCTGTCTCCCCCCAGCACTCCTTCCTGCCTTTTAGAGTCCTAGAAAATGGGACTGTGCCTTAGTCATCTCTGTATTCTAAGGTGCTCCTAGTGGTGCAGTGGTTAAGACATTTGGCCACTAACCAAAACATCAGTGGCTTGACCCCACCAGTCACTCTGCGGGAGGAAGATGAGGCAGTCTGCTTCCATAAAAATTTACAACCTTGGAAACCCAGTGGGGGTCGCTATGAGTAGGAATCGTGTTAATAGCAGTGAGTTTGGTTTGGTATATAGAATGAGGTGTGCCACACAGAATATTCAATAAATGTTTTCTATCTAAATAACTTTCTACTGCACCCAATAGGCACCCTCTCAAGAAAAGCAGTTCTGTCAGTTGGTCAGACTATCAGGAAATCACATCTCAGGGACTGATTTGTCATCCCTCAAAACTAAGTATCTAACTGGAAGTGTGAAATGAACACTTGCTCCTTTATCCCTTAAGCGTTTCCCCAGC